CTGCTTTTCATATTAGTGACAAACAATAACAGTAACAAGTTTTTTTTGACAAGTTTAAAGTTTCTTTAAAATACATTCAAAATGTTTAAAAATTAACTATTTGATGAAATGAAAATTAAAATATAGCTGTATCTGCAACTGTATTTGATAATGTTTTGAACTTTTGAAATATTGCATGGTAGAACCAGAAGCCGCACTTCATATTAGTGACAAACTTTGGCATTTTTTTGATGGATTACCTTCGTTTTTGCCTTCTACTTTTCATTTAAAATGTTTCCAGTTACAGTTCTTCTACATATTAAAAAAGTTGTTGTGGCACACTTCCACTACTAGTGGTACAAGGCTATCCCGCCGCCCTCTGTGGCCCAAAGTTTAAAACTGTTGTTCTTTTGAGGCCCTCAAGGTGGCACTTGCAGCCCACAATTGGGCCGCGGCCCATGGGTTAAGAGTCTCTGCCCTAGAAATTCACTTATAACATTCTCATAACATTCATTTGTTGGGACTTGGTGGTGGAGATGCAGGGGGATGAGGTGAAAGTCTCGCCACTGATGCCTGTGCCCACTCTCAAAGGCTGAACTGGCACTACCTCTTCTCAATCGAGTATGGGTATGTGCTGGCCTCTGCCACTTCTCTCCAATTTTAATTGGACTATAAAACAACACACATTAACAGCGCATCTGAGGGTGGAGGTACTGTATATGTGTAATAATTTTTTTTCAGTCCCCCGTTCCTCGTTTGCCATTTGGGGTTGGGGTCCGAAGGAGGGACAGATTGTCTGGTGGAGGCCTGGGCTGCATGTGGCTCGGGGCTTGGGTGGGTTCCGGGGCGGGTCTGGCATTCTGGCTCCTCTGGGGCTGTTTGGATTCTTAGATCATGGCTCCTGGTTGCCATGGTTTGCCCTCTGGCTGGAGTTGCCGCCGAGGTCCAGCGAGTGGTCAGCTGGGGATGTGCACTTGGCCATGGGCGGGGTGTGGGGGTGGCCGGGGGTGTGGCTTTGCTGCGAAGAGGTGGCTGGATGGTCAGCCTGGTGCAGCCCGGATTGAGCTTTGGCTGTCTGCTCCTCTCCCCATAATGAATGGGTCTAGCTCCTGGGTCCAGATGCTGCCCCCTGTAGGGGGTGGGTGCATATCTTGGACCTGGGGGTATAGAAGTGTGTATGGGGAGTGTGAGTGGAATATGGCATGCATCTTGTGTGTCTTTGAATAAGTGGTTGTGAGGGTGGGAACATGTGATTGTGTCTGTGTGTGCCTAGATAATTGCCAGGCTGGGACTTGGGCCACCCCCTCTTCTCGTTCATCTAGGGGCCCACTGCTTGTGGTGGGGCTCTGCCCCAGTCGTACTGTCCTCTGGTGGATTATGCCTCTGCCCACCTCTGCTGGTGGCTCTCAGAGTCTGGGGCTGGGTGCTGGGGCATGTGCCAGCTTGGCCTGGTGACTGCCTGGTGGGGTTCGACCCGAGCCACCCGACCCCTGTCAGGCCTTGGCTGAGGGGTGGTGCGCCCTTAGGACACAGTCCTCTGTGTCCATGCCTGGATCTGCATCCGGCGTAGAGGGTCCCGACAGGTCCTGTGGACTTGTCGCTGCTGACCCAGGGAACTTTCTGCGTGGGTTACTAGGGTGACTCTCCTGGTTCTCTCCCCTGGTCTGCTCTGGGGGTGGGTAAGCGGTTTTTCGAGTGGTGGCGCCCCTGGGGCTCGGCGCTCGGGGTCGCTCTCAGACCTTTGCCTCTGGTCTACCTTATGTCTGCCTTGGGCCTTGGAGGTCGGGTCTGTGGGTCTCCACAGTCATTATTACACATTCAAATAGAGAAACCTTGTATATACATGCATGCTCACAACTGCACACAAACAAGTGTCCAGATTCAGGTGTTTCTTAAAGAGATCCCTGATTAGTTGTAACATTAGACTTTATTTGATAAACATTTATTTTAACTGTAAAATAAAGACTGTAAAAATACTATAGGATGTTTAGTTTTTATAATTTTTAAAAATATATTTTAACACAGACGGAGCCATTTTATTTACACGCAAAGCATTCTGGGTAAATGATGACGTGGATAGGTCCTTGGTGTGAGGGTGCTAGCGAGCTATATCCACCCTGAAGGTTACTCTTGGACAATATCTGATGATCGACTCTTTTAAATGAAACCAGAGAGCGTTGACAGAGAGGAGAAGGTAGAAATGACTCAGCCTGGAACTGAAAATATGGATGGAGGACAACAGAGCTGCTTCATGGAAGAAGAACACTGCAAGATGCAGTGAAATGCCAGCAGTTTTTGATCCAGCCACTTTTGGAGTAAATTTGCAAAGCCCTTCTGTGCTCCTCTCATACTAGGTGCCTCGTCAGTAGCCACTGACACCAGGTGAGTGGTGTTAATTCCTTTGTCTTTTAGACAACTCACAACAGCCTCACAAATGTCCCGCCCCCGTGTTTGGCCTTTTAGCAGTATGAGTTAAATCGGTTCCTCCTGCGGCCCATCAGAGTTCACATACCTTCATAATAGAGCTGTCTGCTCACTATCATTTACATCACTTGACTCATCACAAGCAATTGAATATGCTTGAGCTGAATCGATATCATCAATTTGCCTACTGGTGATGTTTGTTGCCATTTTAATGGCCCTGTACTTGATGGTTTTGGCAGAGAGAGGCATGTCTCTAATTTTCTGAATAATTTCCTGTTTGTTTTTTAAGTCCAAGAATAGATGCTCTGATATTTTTATGAATTATTCTTTCATGTATTCCCCGTCTGTGAGAGGCGTTCCTCTCCTTACGATGTCCTGAACTGCCACAAAACTAGCAGCTGTAGTTGAGTTAGGAGAGTTGAGCCACTTATTGAAAGTATGTTTGCTCTGCTCAGCTTTCCGTAGCAGTTCTGAAATCACTCTCTTTCGCTCATCTTCAGTTTGGTACTTTTCCAGAAAATGTCTTTCAGCGTTACATTTTTTGTTGTTTGCTAATTTCTCGCCACATATCAAGCACACAGGATCATTGGCGGTGAAGGCAAATGAATCTGTCCACGCAGAATTAAACTCTATTTTCTTCTGAGACTTCTCTTTTTTGGACTTACTCATAGTGAGCTATGGGTCGCTATGGGTTAGCGTGGGTCAGACACTCAAGGTCACCTGCAGGTAAAGGCGAGGGCTGTAGACATGGATGTGGCGTGTATTTTAGTTGACAAATTATTTAAAAAAATTTTAATTTAAAGTAACATTTCAAACTCCAAGATAACTTTGCAACAAAACAAATAAAAAAATTAAAGCAAATAAAATGTAATTAAGAGATAATCATTACTCGTTTTCATGTTTTTAGTTTTATTTTTTTTTATTTTTTTGTCAAGGCCAGAGGGAGACACGACAAGAAGGTTAAAGAGCCGCTCGCGGCTCTGGAGTCACGAGTTGCCGACCCCTGTGCTAGAGGAATGTCCTTGGGGGAAAATCATTAATTGTGGCTCTGCGCCAAATCGTTTCTTCTGCAGATCACGTGCACATGACTGATAATTTTTTTGAATAGTGTGAAAAATCCCTAGAGGGGTCACTCGGCTGGGCGTGCTTTAAAATCTGAAGAGGTGGTGTTTTAGGATGAAAGGAGAAAGAGGAAAACATTTGTTGACATGCATCCACTGTAAAAGATAAAGGAGACCTTGAAGAGTTGGAGTTAGTGGCCCCTTCGGTTATGGATTTAGATATGAAGCAGTTTGTTGAAAAAGTGAGAAATGGTGTGGGGTTTTGGAACTTCAGAGATGCAGTCGTCAAAGAAAGTTTTCAAAAATATTGTAGATGGATTTTCAGGACAATTAAGTTGGTTGTTTGTGAGAGAAATGAACTGACTGAAAAGACCTTGACGTCTGAAATGATTCCAACTTCGTGGACGTCTGCACCTGACATGTCGACTCAACAAGTCTGCAGGCTTTTATAAAAACATTGCTTTTACTGTATATGGGGTGCCGCTTGTAAAGTTACACAGTTAAAACTTACCACCAATATTTTTGTTTTATTTAGTCTTTTATTAGAAAAAAAAGAACAGATTTATTTTTGAAAGTCAGTTTTTCACCATATGATTCATACATTTATAAATGTCACAGT